GGTGCTCTCTCTCTCTCTCTCTCTCTCTCTCTCTCTCTCTCTCTCTCTCTCTCTCTCTCTCTCTCTCTCTCTCTCTCGTGCTTGCTCGCTCTCTCTTTTGCTTGCTCGCTTGAGCCTTTGTGCACACCAAAAAGGAAGCATCGGAGGTTGAACCTTGACAGTCTGCCCAAGATGCATCTGCGTGCGCGTGTGTGGCGTCATGTTCGCCTTACACAACTCCATAAAAAAAGGGTTTGACTATGCCAGACTGAACCAAGCACCGATTCCACGATGCACGTAGCACCGTTGCATTTAGGACGAAGCGTGGATCCCACAAACCAATCGCAGATGCACGTAGCACCGAAACCAAACCAAGCACGGAGTAGCACGAAGGAGCACAAATGCACCCAGTAGCACCTAGTACCACGAAAGTGGCACCGAAGCATGAACCAAACACAACCAAGCACGAAGTACCAAGCACTGAGAGAAAGGAAGGGAGAGGGAGAGAGAGAGAGGGGGGAGAAAGAGAGAGGGGGGAGAGAGAGAGAGGGAGAGGGAGATCCGCAGAGAGAGCGAGAGGGTTACGGTAGGCAGGTCGTAGGCAGGTTGCATGGATCGTGTAGGCTGTAGGTAGGTCGCCTAGGTGGGAGTAGGCAAGTCATTAGGTCGCGTAGGCAAGACCGTAGGGCACAAAGTACCAAGAACGACGTATGTAGGACAGTTGGTCGTGTAGGGCAGTAGTTTGTCGGGTACGGTGGGCAGTAGTTTGTCGGGTACGGTAGTAGTTTGTCGCGTAGGGCAGCCGTTGCGCGAAGTCAGACAGCCCTCGTTCGAGGCGAACAGGGCCATGGCACTGCCCCGGAACGGGCCCTCTTCTCAACGGGCGTGCCGATCCGGGCCGCCGATGGCCCTGATTTCCGCACGATCTTAAGACTTTAAGATCGCGGGTCGATCCAGGTCGCGTGGCAAAGTGGAAGGTCTGGATCGTCGCGCGATCTTAGTCTTAAAGTCTTACGATCGCACGGAAATCCGGGCTGTTGGCCGGTAGGCCGTGGACGGCCCGGATCGGCCAAATGTTGTACGCCAAATAGCGATTTCCATAAGTGTAGGGATGTTACCACGACCACGAGACTGTGAAACTGTCTGTAGGAGAGTCCCCAGCACTGTCCTTTTCTGCAGTCATCAGAGATCTGAGTGCCGTAGTGCTGCAGACAAATCAGATCGTTCTCATAGAGGATGTTTATGTGCCGAACTTCTGACAATTTGGTCTGGAAGAGCGTTTGCTGATATCAACCTCACTGGCAGTGACTACTGCGTGTACGAGTGGTTGCTCAAAGTGTCGTGCCAGTTTATGGCAGAGTTGCCTCCTGCCAGTTTGCTGAAGCTATTGTCTTAAAGCAAATGAGTCCCAGTCATTGTGAAGGGTGCAATTGGTGGTGAAAATGTACTGGAATTGAAAATGTAATTGTGTGTTTGTTTGTGCAGCACAAGCAGAAGTCCGAGTTGGAACAGAGGACAGGGTGCTGCTAGAAATGGCAGTGGCCCTAACTATGGACCAAATTTACGACGGGAGCATCCATGGTCAGAAAGGGAGAAGAAACGGTAAGCGAAGGACTTTAATGGCAAGCTGTAGGACTTAATGTCAGGCTGTCATTATTACACGCCATTCCTGAGGTTATCCTCTCCCTCATGCCAAACATCCTCTCAGCATTCCTTAAACTGTCATCTTCCAACCTCCTTGCTGTTAATCTTGAAACTACGTCCGTCACTGCTCTGGACTTACCAATCAACAAATCTATTCATCCCCCATCTGTCTTCGGTGTCCTTTCGTGAATATTCCAAATGTCTTTGCTGCTTTGTTCTGAGAATGTCGTCCTTTTCTTGGTAAGAAACTTCTTCCTCTCCTATTTCTGGTTTTCAGGCTTCTCTGGCTCCATGACTTCAGAATTGATGTCTCCAAAACCGTAGAAACCTCTAAACGACACAAGGGGCCCGTCTGTGCCATTAGCCGTTTGGCCACGGAACAGCCCGGATTGCAGGCCAATCACCAAAATTCATACCGCCCCATGATCTGGACTGTTCGTGCTCATGTACACCGTGGATTGCAGTCCAATATGAGTTTTCAGTGATTGGCTGCAATCGGGCCTTCCATTGCGTGAAAGGCCCAGATTGCAGGCCAATCTGAAAGTTCAGTGACTGGCCTCCGACCTGGGCCTGTTCCTTGTTGCAAACAGCCAAGATCACAGGCCGACATGGGAGGGCACAACGGGCCTACATGAAAAAAGTTGCCGCACACTATGGCCCTTCTGCTGCCTGATGGCGCAGACAGCCCATATCCAAGCATTCTGCGAACCCCAAAGCAGCCGCCACGTGATGCCGCAGCTGGATGACACCAAAGCAGCTGCCACACACCCCTGCCCTCCTTCCTGCTGTCACAGAGAGAGAGAGAGAGAGAGAGAGAGAGAGAGAGAGAGAGAGAGAGAGAGAGAGAGAGAGCAGAGTGCCCTCCTTCCCCTTTCTGACCATCCAGTGCCCCATTCGTACTTCGCAAAATACAAATCTCTACACCCTTATGCTTACTGAACCCCTTGTTGTTCTCCGAAGTCTTTACCACCCCTTTTGTGAACCCTCCCATCTATGGCTCTCTTCCTTTGCTGCAGAAAGTGTGCTTGCTCCCTTTTCTAAACCGCCCGTACCCCTCCTCAACCCTCTCTCCAAACCTTCCCATTTCTGAACCCCGTATGTTTGTCAAGCACTGTCCGTGGAGCATTACAAATGGCATGACTGTTCAGTCTCTGAATAGAATTACGAATAAATAGTGGAACAGAAGGCTAACACAAGATGGCTTTCTTGCTTTCGGCCTTGTTATTTTCAGAAACGGGACCGAGGATTGGCAACATAAATGGCAGCAGTAAACGTAGTTCGCAAGTGTTATGCACTTATGTAGTGTTGAAGGCTATCCAATTCAAAAGGTGGCATGGTCCTCACCGGACATAGAGTAAATGTATTTGTTTTTTATTCCAGGTCATGTAGAAACCAATTTTGTTTACAGTGGATGTTCAAGTCCAATTGTGCATTACCGATCGGATGTAGGCTCGGTATTTTCATCAAAGGTCAATGTAAGACGACTTTAGGATTAAACTAATTTAGTATTATGTCTACTTGTCCTTCGGGACATCCTTTAAAATTGTAACGATACAGAAAATATTAGCATGACCCCCGCGCAAGGATGACACGCATAAATTGAGAAATGGTCCAAATTTGAAAACAAACTATTATGTCTACTTGAGCACAGCATGTGCTTGCAAGTATGTTCCCAAGCGATTGTATAACACCACCTTGCGAAGGCATCATACCTTTCCTCGCTGAAGCACAATGCCCATTTTCTACCAGTTCTCTTGGGAGTTGAACGTTTGGAAGGCTTTCTGTTTTTGAAAACAATACTTCTCAATTTCGGGATTCCATTGTGGGCTAGGAACAAGTGATCAACCCAGTGTCGGTTTGATTGGGCACAGTAGGTTTGTGTTTGCAACTGCGGTTTGTGTTTAAAGGTGCAAAATTGGCTTCTGAATGTTTGAGCTAGAGGGACGGAAAATGGTAGGATGGCGAATATAAATCGAGTGGTCCAAAAAAAGAAGAGGAAAAGGGTAGGAGATGATGATCATTCCTCCAATGTTGATTCTGAAAGTGAGTTTTGTCTTTGTGCAGCTATCAAAGTTCATGGAATGAACACAATGACCGGGCCGAGTGGGTTGATCGGGGTGATCCCGCTGAGCGAGGCGAGCGAGGTGAGCGGGGTGTGAGGCTTGATAGGACTGAGCGAAGTGATAGGGAACCCCGAGAGTTCAAACAGAGGGAGGTTTCGGAACTTCGGCGAGCTGTTGGTGAGAAGCGCAGTTTTGCAGATATGGAAGGGAGTACAGAAAGGAGAACTGAGCGGTATGATCGCGAGAGTCCAATTCAAACAAGGCCTGTGCGTTATGAGCGCGAGAGTCCAGTGCGTAACAAACATGAGCGAGAAAGAGCACCATCTCCTTGGTATGATGAGCAGGAAAGCTCCCCTGTTGGCAAGCACAGGCAAGCTGGCAGATCTGTACAAGAAAAGCCACCCAGGGCCAGGATCGACAGTGGAAAGCCCCATACTGGTCGCAGTGAGAGGTCTGGCGGAATTAGAGGTGGGGACAAAGGCGAGGGAGAAGACGTGAATGAGCGGTCACATAAGAGGGAAAAAGTGAGGAGAATTGAGGCAGGTGTTGTAGGTTCGAAGCGTGCCAAAGAGACTGAGTCAGACCCAGAGTACGAGGGTGATGGTTATGAAGATAGGGGGCAACATTTTGACTATGTTGAGCCCCCACCTCTGGAGGAATGCGGCCCTCAACCAGAAGAAAGCGATGCAGAAATAGAGGAAGAGCGGGTAAAGCGGATTGAGAAGTGGAGAGGGATCAAGCAGGCAAAGGATGCTCAAGAAGATCCGGAGCGCTATAGCTCCCCTCTGACAAGTGAAGAAAGACGCGCTGCAAAGCAACGGAAGAAGGAAGAAAAACGAGCTAGGAAAGCAGCAAGGAGAGCCAGGAGGGAAGAGAGGCATAAACGGAAAGCTTTAGCAGCAGAAGCAACCGCAGCCATGACCAGACATATGAAAGAAGAGTCTGAGGCTGTTTCCTTGGAAAGAAACCATGGGAGTGACCAGGATGGCGATGATGGGTATGTAAGCTCTGAGGGGGAAAAGGAAACTGAAGAGAGGAGAAAGCGGTATGAAGAGATGTTGCGGAGCAAAGCGCTAGAGTCCCTGAGGGCCGCAAAGGCTGGACATTGATGTCACTGAGTGCTGATCAGGGGCTTCACAGTACCTCTCTTTCGGAGAGGCTTGCAAGAGTCAGTCAAGTAATCAGAGGGAAAAACAGGGATGAGGGAAGAGTGTGAGTGTGAGTGTGAGTGTGAGTGTGTGTGTGGGTGTGTTTGTGTGTGTGTGTGTGTGTGTGTGTGTGTGTGTGTGTGTGTGTGTTTGTGTGTGTGTGTGTGTGTGTGTACTCTGACGTTTGAGCGCGGTAGTCTGTACAATTTTAGCAACAATCTGGTCTGGCAGCTGCCGCTCCTCTAAGCTCGTCTTTATTCCTGCTTGCAAATTCCCCTCTTGCAGCATTGTTATGTATTTGCCTGACTTTTCATTCTCCAGGGCAGTTGTTGCCCATCTTGAAGGAAACATTGTCCTATCACGTATGCAGGAAGCATGTGTCTTTTGTACGGTGTCCAATGGTCATCTCTGTTTCTGGATTTTAAAAAATTCATTGGTCATGCGTGAATTGTTGCTTCCGCCAGTGGACATGGTCTTTATGAGGCTTGGCCAATTGTTTAGTTTTCATCACAATGATTCTCCTTCTACACCCCTGTGCACCTTTTTATCCAACTTGGCAAGTCTGAAAATTTCACGACTATATCACGAGCATGCTCTCCTGTGGCGGATGGCTGTCTATGAATGTCCAATTTCATTTTGCAGGGTTGGCATGTATGTTCAGGGAAAACGACATGGATCCAGAACTGAATCGGCGGAGTGAAAAGAAGAGGGGTTGAAGCTGTGTGTGCAAAATTGTTTGTCAGGGAAGAAGAGCAGCATTGTCTGCTACTTTCGATACTTGATCGAGGTAGGAAATCTCTTGTGGTTCTTGCTTGATATGAGCCTGCATCCTTGATTTGGTAATGTTCTTTCATGCTGTCTGCTACTTCCGAAATTTGATTGGGATAGGAAATCTCCGTTGGTCATTGCTTGATATGAGCCTTCACCTTTTCTTTGGTAACATACTTTCAGTAGGAAGTCAAAAACTGCTTATTTCTTGAAGTTCCATGTACTTCCCCATACACTTATTCCTTTTGCCATGGTTTTGGCTGTGGTCTGGCACTGATGTGTGGGTCCTACCGTAGACTGTGGACTTCGTTTTCTGGGTGGGGGGATGGAATGCGAGGAATGAGCCCTCGCGGGGCCCTTATCAGACATACAAGTGTTGTGTGTTGCGGCCCCTAGAAAGCCTGTGCCCCACCCTAAGTGAAGGCGGGCCTGAATATTCACGAGAGGCCTGTTTTTGGCAGTTTTTATTATGTGGTGATTCAGACAGTTGCAGCACGCCAGTCGGTTACAGAGCAACGTGAGCCTCCAGGCTGTGTCCAGAAGCAAGCGCTGCACTGTACAGTTGAGCCCAGGGCTGGGCTCAGGTGGCTGCGCCCTGGGCACTCGCTGTGTGAGTCCGACACATCATGGACTGTTCGCGGACCAATGAGAGAGCAGCATTGTCGTCACACATGAGCGAAGAGCCAATGAGAATGCTGCAAACACTTGGAGGCTGGATGGCTGCCTGAACGTTCCTAACTGCATGAGGCCCAGGCCAAAATCTGAAACCGGGCCGGGGCGCAGACACTTCGGGCCAGAAGCAAAGCTACTGGCCCCCCACACACACCTGGCCTGGCCATCCAGCAGCGGGCACACTTTCCATAAAGGAAAGTGTGTGCCCCAGGAAGAGGGGATTCTGGCCTGTGCAGGCACTGGGGCCATGGTGCGTTATTGCCGTGCGAAGATGCGCTATGCAGGCAGGCTGGGGTGTGCACGGGCGCAAAGCGGTGAATAGGGCACTGCGATGGCAGTGGGCGCATGGCGGCCATAGCCGGGCCGAGCGTGCGGGTGCAGGTGTTGGTGATGGTCGTCTTTGGGTAGGAGGTGCATGCAGAGGTGGGGAGTCGGGGTGTGATGAGGGGAGGAGAACACATACCTTGTATGCTGGCAGTCGGCATTGGCGATGACATCAACGTACATTGGTCTTGAACTGCAATTTGATCTGGTTGTGAGAACGTAGATAGGCTAGATATGTGGTAGAGTAGGTTGGGCGCCGAGCGCCGGACAGCAGGAGGGACAGTGTATACTGTGTTGGTGTGACCAAAGTGGCGACATTGACATCGGAGGTCATTGTATTGCTCGTCTTGACTTGGTATTTTGGTGCGTTGTGCTCTCTTCTTGGTGCACGATTATCTGAGCTACTTCGTGATCTTGCAACCTGGTTTTCTGTCTATCGCTCCCGCTCATACTCCTTGCAATTTGGTATCATAACTGGTTCGATAGCCAACACTGACGCTGGTGACTTTGTTGCGCTGACGAAGCTTCTACGCAGTAAGGATACATTGGCGCTGGCTGTTTGGGCGACTCCCGGGTAGGGGAAAGTCTCGACGGAAGCCTGTGGCGACAGCATGGGAGCTGTGGCGACAGCGGATGTATGCGAGATGATGAGAGCATGCTGTCATGACATTGTGGCTGAGGTGGCACTCCATTGCATTGTGTGTGGTACCGAGGCTATGATCGGTCATCAAAATGCACGTCGGCTCAATTGGTGAGAAATGTGTGGTTGGGGCCAGCTATCTTCAGGTATGTTGTTCCCTTACCTTATCTTCCCATCTCAATCTCTTCTCACCGTGAGGAAGTGAGTCCAACTTGACCGTCCTCTTGTGGTTCAGGAGTCGTGAGCGCTCTACCTTGAGAGTCGACATTCTTACTGGTGGGTATCTGGAAGGAGAGGGTGGTACCTCTGAAGGACACTGGTCGAAGCACGGGTCACAGTCACCATGCCAACCCATGGGAGTAGATCACGCATGCTTTGCTGCTTTGTCCTTCTAGCTCTTGCTGCGCTGTAGAGGGAACGTGGACTGACCTATGCGGAACGTCAACCAGACGGTCTATAAAGAACCTCGGGCTGGATCTGATCTGAATACTGGCTGTGATCGTCGTCCTGTCTGCGACGTTAAATAATTCTTGATGACTCTCGAGGCTGTCCTTAAATTGCCTCTTGATTGGCCAGATCAGTCGGATGTAAGCTCGTTGCACGTGTGGATAAATAACGGGCAATGCTGGTCGTAAGCGGGTTCATGGGCACAGGGTTGGGCCTTTGTGCACACGACAGACACTGCTGCTTGATGATGCAAGTCAGGATTGTTGGACACGGGAAGGGAAGGTTCCAAATGATGCTCGTACATAAACACAATTTATTCCCATTTCTGCATACATTTGTGCAAGTGATTTATTTTTATTTTGATTAGTTGAGGTGACGGACTGCTAACACCTTCCAACAGGCATCAAGAATCTGTTGGTTAGTGAGGCCAGCATTGAGTATCACACCTTGGAGTCTTTCAGCAACGAGGCCTTAGACTTGAAGGCAAGGTTGGGAGGGGCTCGGCAGGTAGTTGTGGATGGAAGAAAGAGGAAGACTTGACAATAGTGGAAGAAGAAGGAAAGTCATTCGATGATGGTTGATTCTGATGGAAATCAAACCGAGATAGACAACCTTTTTGAACTTGTGGAGGAGACAGAGATAAGCAGCGAGGAGAGTGCAGAGGGTAGCAACATTGCCGCCCTAACTAAAGGAAAGGCAGCTGGCCGTGGGAAGGGCAGTCAACAAAAGAGTCAGGGCCGGGCACATAACTCAAACAAGACTTTGACTGGGGTTAGGGCTGGCCTGGATCAAGATGTCTAGGGACTGATATTCACGAGGGGCTTGCATAAACTGCGGCGAGTACGGCCACCAGTACTTTAAATGCAAGAACGCGAAGGTCTCTCAAAAGATTGTGCCCAAAGGTGGTTTTGGGGGATCTTTCTCCCAGAGTGGTCCTTCTACGAGCACCACCCAGGGAAACACATCTGGCCAGTAGAAGTGGTAGGTGCTTCTACTCATGCTGAAGTGGGTGATGTACCTTCACCACTTGAGTAGTTGGTAGAAGTTGTTGACTCTTTAGTCACCCCGCAGACGACACTCAGTTAGCTGGTTGTGTTTGAAGCCTTAGAAAACGAGTGGTCGGCAAGGGACCCTCAAGTCTTCGGTGGCATTGTCCAAAGGTCGTAAAGGGGAGCATTTCATTGTAGAAGTCGGTTTAGGTGGCCGCAAGTGTGGTGCGAAGTCGGTGTAGGTGGCTGCAAGTGTGGTGCCTTCGGAGACATTGGCTCCACACGGAACTTAACAAGTCGCGACTACGTTGAGAGACTGCGCCTAGGGGACTGGGTGCATCTTGAGTAGACCTGTAGCATCTGCTCTAGCCAACAAAAGGCGCATGTAAGTCAAGGACTACGTCAAGGATGTGGTTTGGACCTTCTCTTATCGAGGTGGGGAACGTAATCACCAGATTTCCTTCCAATTAACAATGACTTACCTTTTGACATGTTGTTAGGTATGTACCTTGAGGTTGCCAAGCCCCATTTTGACTGGGACTGAAAAAGTAGGTTAGTTGTGACTCCTATCGGTGTATGTATACGGGTTCATTTTATAGTTATGTAATGACCCGCCAAAAACACAGACTGAGAACATTGCTGATTTCTGGGATTTGCCGCTGGAATGAATGCCTTGCTGAAATTCCCGCATTCTGCTGTGGTTTCCAAGTCTGTGTGTGTATGCATGCCTGTCTGAGTGCTTGTCGGCTGAGTGTGTGTGTGACCCGCAAGGGTACTTGTTGGTTGAAAGGCCCCGCAGGGCCGGTACTTACCTGGGGCCGTGACTTTGAGGGTTGCAGCGGAGAAAACACTCAAGTCGCGGGGGTAGGCCCGCGACACTTAGAGCAGCCGGGAAAAACACTCAAGTAGCAGGTAGGTCGGTACCAAAGTAGTGGTAGGAGTGTCAGGTACTGGAGGCCGAGCAGAAGGCAAAAAGTTGGCATTTTAAGAGGCCCAGTAGCGGTAGGATAGAGGTAGTCCGGTACCAGTCCAAGTAGCCCGAGTCTAGGGCCTGTCCGGATCGCAAAGCCTGCAATGATGTTTCCCTCCGAAAGAGAGGAGGTACCGGTTGTTGGGAGGCCGCCCGGCCTAGGAAGTCACCGCCTAAGAGGCCAGTAGGCCGGTATATCTTTTGGAGGAGCAAGTAGCTCCTCATTTGCGGTATGGAAGGATTGGCGACATGATGCTGAGCCAAGCGCTGGACTTGTACAGTGCTGCCTGGAGGTGAAGGGCAGCTGGGCTCTCAGCCTGGCTATGGCGAGCAGCCCAGCCTGAGGAGGAGGAAGAAGGAGGCGAATGAGGAGAGTGGCGAGGTACCTACCTGGCTATGGTGGACACCATCTTCATCACCTTGTTGGGCGCTGCATCTGGAAGGCCCCAGTTGGGGTAGTGCCGCACCAA